CCGGACGCGGCGCGGAAGATGCTGTGCACGCTCTTCTCCGAGGTGAAGGCCGAGCACTCCAGGTAACCCTCGGCTCCCAACTGCCGGGCGGCCGCGCAGCCCTAAGAGCGGGGAGTCAGGCAGGGGGGTAGGGCAAAGTCATTGGGGTATCCTAAACTGAGCCCCAAAGTCATTGGGATATCCTAAACTGAGTCCCAAACCCACTGGGATATCCCAAACTGAGCCCCAAACCCATTGAGACAGCCCAAAGTCATTGGGGTATCCCAAAAGTCGGGATAGATCGAAGTCATTGAGATATCCTAAACTGAGCCCCAAACCCACCGGGACAGCCCAAAGTCATTGGGGTATCCCAAAAATCGGGGCAGATCAAAGTCACTGGGATATCCCAAATGCACCGAGATATCCCAAATTCATCGGGACAGCCCCAAAGTCATTGGGATATCCCAAAAATTGGGACAGTTCAAAGTCATTGGGATATCCTAAACTGAGCCCCAAACCCACCGGGACAGTCCAAAGTCATTGGGATATCCCAAAAATCGTGACAGTTCAAAGTCATTGGGATATCCCAAAAATCGGGATAGATCAAAGTCATTGGGATATCCGAAATCCACTGGGACAGATCGAAGTCATTGGGGTATCCCAAAAATCGGGATAGATCGAAGTCATTGGGATATCCCAAAAATCGGGACAGCCCCAAAGTCATTGGGATATCCCAAAAATCAGGACAGATCAAAGTCATTGGGATATCCCAAAAATTGGGATAGATCAAAGTCATTGCGATATCCTAAACTGAGCCCCAAACCCACCGGGACAGTCCAAAGTCATTGGGATATCCCAAATCCATTGGGACAGCCCCAAAGTCATAGAGATATCCCAAAAATCGGGATAGATCAAAGTCATTGGGATATCCCAAAAATCGGGATAGATCGAAGTCATTGGGATATCCCAAAAACTGGGATAGATCAAAGACATTGGGATATCCTAAACTGAGCCCCAAACCCATTGAGACAGCCCAAAGTCATTGGGGTATCCCAAAAACTGGGATAGATCAAAGTCATTGGGATATCCCAAAGTGAGCCCTACAAACACCAGGGCACCCCAAAATCATTGGGATATCCCAAATCCATCGGGACAGCCCCAAACACACCTGGANAACCTGGATCCCTTGGAATCACTCCTGGGGACTTGAATCCCCTGGAACTCCTCCCCAAGGATCTGGAGCCCCTTCCATCCAAGCCCCATCCGCCCCCTCCTCACCTTCTCCTTCTTCAGGGCATTTTCCTCCTCTTCCTCTGCTTTCCTTGCCTCTCGATCCTTCCGAGACTTGGAGTCCTTCCCCCTGCCCGGGGACAAACTTCCAAGGGAAACAGCACCAGGAATAAGACACCAAGCACAGCCCTGGGGGATCCCAAACCTCCAGGGGAATTAGGGGAGAGCAGGAACCCCCCAAAGAAGTGACAGGACCCACCTGGACCGCTTACGGTCCTTGTCCCTCCGGTGCCCATCCTTGTCCCTGTCCCGCTCCTTCTTGCTGCGCTCCCGGTCCCGCTCCTTGTGCCGCCGATCCCTGTGGGACAGCAGACTCAAAATTTTAAAAAGGAGCCTCTTTATATCCTCTTTAAAACAAATAAATACAGCTAATAAATTTTTCTTTATGCCCTCTTTATAATAAATAAACACTGTTAATCATTTTTTCTTTATATGCTTTTAAAGAGGGTATAAAGAAAAATTTAGTAACTAAAAGAAAGAGTATTAAGAATCACAACAAAATCTTTACAATATTTCTTCTCCTCTCACAACTTTTTTATTTCCCACTGACAAAGCCATCAAAGCTGTTCCAAACCACAGGGATAAATCTGAGATTTGGTTATTTTGAGATTTCCTGGCCAATGCAGCAGTGAGTGTGGTGGGCTCAGTGCTGCCCAATCCCCAGGGCACTCAATCCTGCTGTGGGGCAGGGTGAGGAAGAAGGCAGAGCAGGTTCAAAATTTTAAAAGGGAGCCTCTTTATACCCTCTTTAAAATAAATAAATAAATACTGTTAATAATTTTTTCTTTACACTCTCTTTAAATTAAATAAATACTGTTAAAAAATTTTTCTTTATAATAAATAAATACTGTTAATAATTTTTTCTTTATACCCTCTTTAAAGCAAATAAATAGTTTGCAAATTTTTATACACATTTAAAAGAGTATAAAGAAAAATATATTAACAGCAATATATTTATTAATATAATGCTTTTATAATTTATATAATTATATTTATTGATATAAAAATATACACTTATTATCAATAAAAAACCTTCACAGCACTTCTCCTCCCCTCACAACTTTTTATTTCCCACTGAAAAAAGCATCAAAGCTCTTCTCAAATCACAGCTGCCTCACCTCTCTGTGGACTTGGAGCGGGACCGGGATCGGGATCGGCTCCTGCGGCGCTCCCGGGATCGGTGGCGCTTCCGTTCCTTGGCCGGGGGGGAGCCCTTGCGCTCCCGGTCCCGTTCCCGGTCCCGTTCCGGAGAGCGGGAACGTTTCCTCTCCTCCTTCACCGGGGATGCGTCCCGATCCTTCTTGTCCGCCACTTCTCCGGCCATCTGTGGGGAGGGAAACACCGGGAGGGTCAGGGGGGTACCGGGAGGGAAATTGGGGTGCAGGGAGGGACCCAGGAGGGAGAGAGAGGGGTTGTGAGGGAAGAGAGGGACCCCAAGAAGGAGTGGGGAGGGCTGAGAGACACCAGGAGGGAACGGGGAGATGTCAAAGGAACCGGGGAGGGAAAAACGCCGAAAAGAAGCAGGGAGAGCTGGGGGACACCGGGATGAGGGAAAGGGGA